ATCCACTCCCCCACTGGCGCAACTCCGCGGGGACTCCGCGCCCAAACCGCTTCCCCCGAATCTTCCGCCCATCGCTCCCCCTTCTGTTGTCGACCCCGCTTCCGCCACCACCTGCATTCCCCCCCTCGCGCCCCCGCCGCGCGGGTGTGGGCTGCGGAAGATTCCCCCCAGCCGCGGAAGGACCAGGGGGCCCATTTCTGACCAGTGCAGTCCGGGGAAGGACGGCGCGGGCGGCGCGGGCCACGAGTGCGACGCGGCGGCTGCGGAAACGCGCAGGGTGGGGGAAAAGCGGAGCGCAAGATGCCCCATGGCGGAGGTGCAGAGCGCAGTATCCGCCGCGGCGGCGGCGAGCGCGGAAGGATCTTCCAGCGGAACCCCCCACCCCGCGACTAGCTTCCCCGCAGTGAACGACAGCGCGGGCGGATCCGCGGAAGCGGAGCGGGAGGAGGGGCGGAGGGGAGTGTACGGGGTGTACGGGGAGTGGCGCGAGGAGCGGAGGCCCAGGGCGCGGGCGATGGATGGAGGTAACGCGCGCGGAATGGCGGAAAGAGCGCGGGAGACCGCGGGCAGGAAGGGGGAAAGCGCGGGGACGGGCGTGTCGACGGTTACCGCGAGGGCGGACCCGCGGATGGATTGGAGGAGCGGAATCGTGCCGCTGCTGAACGTGGTGAGGCCACGTGGCTGCGCCCAATAGGAAGACATGAAGACAGGGAGGAGCGGGAAGAACAGGGAAAATAAGAGGCTTGATTTAGACAAGGATAATGAGGAGAGAGAGAAAAGAGGATGTCAAACGATGAAAAACGAGGATAAACAAGGATGGCAAAACCGATAACTGATAGAATTCAGAAACACGTAGGTGCCTGCTAGTCTGCGTACCTGATTCGATGCGCTATCTCCGCGCACTCCCGCTCCCGCGGAGCCTTCGCCCACCAGGTCCGCTCCGCTTGCGCCCATCGGCGCGGCGGTCACCGCCAACCCTTCCGCCACCTGCGCCCTATACACCGCCTTCTGCAGCACTACCGGGCCGCCTAGCGCTAATGCCGGGCCTAGCGGGTCCGGCGGCCCGACTCCTAGAACGGTACTAAGGCGGTCCGACGACCGGCAGAGGGACGCGAGATTTAAAGCCATCTGCACGCCGGAGCGCAGCCCCGCCGCTTCCATCGCGGCTCGGGAGCGGTGCGAGCGGAGGCCGCCTGTTGGGACGAGCGCGGACCCGACGGTGATGCGGCCCGAGACCTCGGTGCGGCCGGAGTTCGCGGCGAGGAACGCGGCGGGCGCGACGCGGTGCTGGCCGAGGGAGAACTCGTCCGCGAGGAGCTCGAGCCGCGTGAGCCTGTCGCGAAGGTGCAATAGGTCGCTGAACGACTCCCGTTGGAGGCGCCGCAGCGCGGAGACTTCGGAGCGGTGCGCGAGCGCGTCGTCTGAGGAACGCGCGTCGAGCACATTGAGAACCATCTCCGCAGTTTCCGCCATCAGCTGCCGCCGGCTCACCTGCTCCGACGCATGCAGCTGCTCCATACGCGATTGTAGCAGGGACTGTAACGAACACGTCAGCCAATCGCTCATCACCAGGAAACCCCCTGCCCCGCCCTGGCCGCCGTCTCTGCCGCCTCCCTGCTGCCGCCCCGCTCGCCGGGACGCGCTCAGCGCCGGACCGCCTCCCCAAAACCCGCCGCTGTTTCCGTCGGGAAGCGATCCCCCGTTAGCAGGATCGTACGACCCAGAAGCGGCCACGGAGGCGAGGGGCTGCCCGCCGAGGAAATAAGGCTGTGCGTTCTTATAAGGAGAGCCAGGACGGTGGGACGGCGTGCCGGGTCGATAACTGCCATCGTGCCGGCGTCGGCGAGGCGTTATCGGCGCTCGCGGGGAGCGCGGAGTGCGGGGAGTGCGCGGAGAGCGCGGTGACATGCTGCCATCGCCTCCGCTTCCCCATCCCCAGCCACTTCCGCCGCCGCCGCCACCGCCGCTCCCCGAATCATTCCGCCACGGGTCCCATGTGAACCCGCGCAAGCGGCCCGCGGGTCCGCCGCGCTTGGGTGCGCGCGAAAAGAGCGAGCCGCACCAGCCGACTTCCCCCTGGCCGTAGCGCCCCTGCCCGTTGCCGTCTCCCGCGCATGGGTCCGAGTCGTCCGCGATACTGTTTCGCCTCTCTAAACGACTTGAGCCAAACCTGTGGGCCATTTCTGTTAGTCGCGATTAAAAAATATGCGAAATGGTGAGTTAAGCAAAAAGCTAGACTGACTGTTAGACGTTGCGATAATGCTAGTCATGTTACCATTGTCGCAAATGCGCATTGGGCTAGCATTCGTGCGTGGATAACAATGCGTGTGAACAAAGAGTCCGGGAAATGCTCTTTCAGAAGTAGCTGGGCGCTGCTCAACTCTATGGCCGTAGTCCTGGACACCAGGCTAAAACTCTACCTAACTTCGAGACTCAACTCGATTCAACCTAACTCCAATTCGCGCAAGCACAGCAGGTGTGACATGCTTTTGCCTCTGCTCAGTGCTCTCACTTCACTTCCCCCTCTCCTCTCTCTTGCTCTCAAGAGCTTGACCTACGAATACACGATGTTGGTTGGAGGAGCCCTGGGCGGTGCCATTTCCACAGATCACAGCCCGTTTTCGCGCCATTTTTGTTGGGGATGGGGGAAAATGCTGCTGCCCCCCCCCTCACCAACTACGGTATTCGGGTAGGGGTGTGCTGTACTTGTCGCAAGATTTCGCCATTTGGTGGTTTGGGGTGAATGTCGCGAACACGAAAGTGAAGGAAAAAGTAACTCGTGGTCACGAAAATCTGATGGGAAGGAAGCTGCACTTCACGAAGCGCGCACGTCCAAGGACACTGGCTGGTTCCATTATTGTACTCACTTCGAGGTCGTGTGAGGCCAATATGAACACCTTAAACATTCAACTCTTGGTGACTTATAAAAAATGATTAATTATTCTGGACTTCGGTAACTTTAGATTTCCCCTTGAACATAGACATGACACTTCCAGCTTTGATTCACAAAGGTTTGGGAAAATGCTTCGCATCACTGTGTTTTCCCAACATTTAAGAACGGTTGGGTAGGGTCTAGGGAAGAGAGCCTGTTACTCACCTGATTCCTTGTTCACATCCCATCCCACCCACCGTATTTTCCACAACTGTCACTATGCTAGGAACGCTGCGAGCAGATTCTGTATCAGAACCATATGCCACCATCCATAGCCATGTCAGAACAACACCGCATGTGATATACGAGCTGAAATGCAGGAAGCTCTCGAGTGCAATGACGTGAATCGGTTCTTATTCTCTTACTAATGAAAGAGTGGTTCCGAAAGCTCATCAGGTCTCGGCTGCCTGGATTTCAAAGACTCTCACCCGCATAATCTCCCACTCCAGGCGCGTAGCTATCTAAATCCAATCCACCTGAATAATCTCCAAATTCTGGTGCGCTGCTGCCTGAATCCAGATTACCTGAATAGTCTCTGAATGCAGGTGCATTGCTCCCTGCATCTAATCCACTCGCGAAATCTCCAAATTCAGGTGCGTAACTACCTGAATCTGATCCATCCGAATAATCTCCGAACCCAGGTGCGTTACTCCCTGAGTCTAATCCACCTGAAGAATCTCCGAATCCAGGTGCGTTGCTCCCTAATTCCAAACCACCTGAAGAATCTCCAAAGCCAGGTGCGTAGCTTCCTGAACCTGATCCTCCTGGATAATATTCTGAACCAGGTGCATCCTCGGAGCTGGGTGCAGGCTCTAAATAAGGTGGGAAGTCTTCAATAGGTGTAACATACTCCGAGCCAGGAGCATACTCCGAGCCAGGTGCATACTCCGAGCCAGGAGCAGGAACATAATCCGAGCCTGGAGCAGGAACATATTCCGAGCCTGGAGCAGGAGCATATTCCGAGCCTGGAGCAGCTTCTGAACCTGGAGCACCTTCTGACCCTGGAGCATCTGGCGCATCTTCTGATCCTGGAGCGTATTCCGAACCTGGAGCATATTCCGAGCCTGGAGCATACTCCGAACCTGGAGCATCTTCCGAGCCTGGAGCATTTTCTGAACCTGGAGCTTCCTCCGAGCCTGGGGCATCTTCTGAACCTGGAGCATCTTCTGAGCTTGGAGCATTCTCTGAACCTGGAGATCCTTTCGAGCCTGGAGACTCTTCCGAGCCTGGAGCATTCTCTGAACCCGGAGCTTCTTCTGAGCCTGGAGCATTTTCTGAACCTGGAGCATTCTCCGAGCCTGGAGCATCTTCTGAGCCTGGAGCATATTCCGAGCCTGGAGCCTCTTCCGAGCCTGGAGCATTTTCAGACCATGGAGCATTTTCTGAGCCTGGAGCATTTTCAGAGCCTGGAGCATTTTCTGAGGCTGGTGCATTAGTTGATCCCGGGGCACCGTTCGAACCTGGAGCAACCTGCGACCCAGGAGCTGCTTCTGAACCAGGAGCCCTTCCCGAACCTTGCGCTGTTTCCGAGCCAGGTGCAGCATCTGAACCCGGTGCAACTTCCGAGCCTGGTGCATTTGCGGAGCCAGGTGCCCTGTTTGAACTGGGGGCAGCGGAGCTGGGGGCAGCAGAGCTGGGGGCAGCAGAGCTCGGGGCAGCAGAGCTGGGGGCAGCATTGCTGGGAGGGGAAGAGCTTGGAGCAGCAGAACTAGGTGCGGCAGAACTAGGGGGGGCGGAACTAGGGGCTGCGGAACTTGGGGCGGCGGAACTTGGGGCGGCGGAACTTGGGGCGGCGGAACTTGGGGCGGCGAAACTAGGAGCGGCGAAACTAGGCGCTGCGGAACTAGGGGCGGCAGAACTAGGGGCGGCAAAACTAGGGGCGGCGGAACTAGGGGCGGCGGAACTAGGGGCGGCGGAACTAGGGGCAGCGGAACTAGGGGCGGCGGAACTAGGGGCGGCAGAACTAGGGGCGGCGATACTAGGGGCGGCAGAACTAGGGGCGGCAGAACTAGGGGCGGCAGAACTAGGGGCGGCGTAGCTGGGAGAAGCCAATGAGCCAATCTCGCCTTCAGATCCAGGTGGGTAGTACACATACTCCGAACCTGGGGCGTACTCCGAACCTGGGCCATACTCCGAGCCCGGGGCATATTCCGAACCTGGGCCATACTCCGAACTAGGGGCAGCGGAGCTTGGGGCAGCAGAGCTCGGGGCGGCAGAGCTTGGGGCAGCGGAGCTTGGAGCGGCAGAGCTTGGGGCGGCAGAGCTTGGGGCGGCAGAGCTTGGAGCGGCAGAGCTTGGAGCGGCAGAGCTTGGGGCGGCAGAGCTGGGAGGGGGAAGGGATCCGATGCTGTCGCCATAGTCAGGAGAAATGACAATATATTCCGAGCCTGGAGCAGCAGAACTAGGGGCGGCAGAACTTGTAGTGGCGAAATCACTTAAAAACGACGCTCTCCATCCGCCTTCTGTCGAAACTCCAACCAAATCCTGGTTCGGAGCCAAGCCCTGGTTCCGAGCCAGCCGTTCAGGTTCGGTAGACCTAGGGTCGTGAGGCTTTCCTTGGATCTGGCACGTGCCTGTGAGTAGATCCCAGTTGCCCTCCACCATGTAACGCATGCCATGGTTACCAACCATGTTGTATTCATACTCATCGTTCTGCTGAGGGGCTGCGAAGTTGGATTTGAAAAACGCGTTCCCCCTGTGTCGGCTGCTGCTGGTGGTGGTGCTACCGCTGCTGCTGCCGCCACTGCCACTGCTGCTGGGGCTGCGGGCGCGTTTTATTTCTTCCGGCTGCCCGTAGAAGGAGCCGCACTTGTCGGAGTTCTCCTGCCCGGAAGCGTCGAACCAGCCCGAGGAAATGTCCGGATCGGTGGTGGCCTCGGTGATCTCGTGGGCGATGGTGCTCACCATGCTGTCTATGGCTGGTAGCCCGTTGGGGGAGGAGCTGCAAGTGGGGATGGGGATGGGGAACGGGGAAGGATATGGGTACAGGTTCAGTGGTGGTCGTGGGGAGAGCCCAGTGTACTCGGTGGTGGCCTCTGTGATCTCGTGCGCGATGGTGCTCACCATGCTGTCTATGGCTGGCAGGCCGTTGGGGGAGGAGCTGCCAGGGTGGGCGGGGGATGGGAGTGGAACATGGGAGCGGGCAGAGGGTTTAGTCGGTCAGCAGCCTCGGTGATCTCGTGGGCGATGGTGCTCTGCTCACCATGCTGTCTATGGCTGGGAGCCCGTTGGGGGAGGAGCTGCAAGTGAGATGGGGTGGGATTTGAGGGACAGGGGGTGGCAGGGAAATGCGAGGGTTAAGGAGGCTGGAGTGGTCAGCAGCAGCCTCTGTGGTCTCGTGCGCGATGGTGCTCACCATGCTGTCATTGGCTGGCTGGCTGGTGGGGGAGGAGCTGCTATGAACGGACAGCCCTAGAGTGGTGGCCCACGAATGCGTATGCAAAGAAGCCTTCCTGCTGGTACTTACTTGCTGTACTGGCAGCACAGCGAGTGGTGGCCCACAAATGCGTACGCAAGGAAGCCTTCCTGCTGGTACTTACTTGCTGTACTGTCAGCACAGCGAGTGGTGGCCCACAAACACATACGCTATCGGGGTGCCGGTGTGCATGTCAATCATCTGTGTGTGCCACCCTCAGTAGCTGCAGCAGTAGCTTCTGCAGTTTCTGTTGCTCGCTGCCAATACTTACTTGCTGTACTGGCAGCACAGCGAGTGGTGGCCCACAAATGCGTACGCAAGGAAGCCTTCCTGCTGGTACTTACTTGCTGTACTGGCAGCACAGCGAGTGGTGCCCCACGAATGCGTATGCCACAGGGCTCCCGGTGCGCATGTCCATCATCTGTGCGTGCCACCCGCAGTAGCTGCAGCGGCTGAACTCCCACACGTCCACGTCAGCACTCGTGATCACGATGTAGATCCCGCTCGGATCGGACGGCAGCCGGTTGGCCTTGCCCACGTTGCGATCCACAACTGGAGGGTGGGGGGAGAGAAGAGGAAGGGATCGAAGGGCGTAAGTGAGGGGTCGGACAAAAATTCTCTTCGGGGAAAGGGCAAGAAGAGGACATCGAGGAGGGCGGGCTGAAGGGGTTGAGATGGAGGCACGTGGAGTGGAGGGAACGCCAGCACTTGTGATCACGATGTCGATCCCTCTTGGATCGGACGGCAATCTGTTGTCCTTGCCCACGTGGCAATCTGTTGTCCTTGCCCACGTTGCTATTGACAACTGGACGTTGGGCGAGGTGGGGAAGGGGAAGGAGAGCGACCAGGGGAGGACTGAAGGCAAGGCACTCTGGGAAGGAGACCTGAGGGGACACGCGTGATCACGATGTGGATCCCGTTTGGATCGGACGGCAATCTGTTGGCCTTGTCCACGTTGCGATCGACAACTGCAAGGCAAGTTGCAAGGGCTCCCAAACCACTCACTCCATGCAATCTCGGCGTCGGAGAAAGAATGGCAGATGGAGCCTAGTTTTGAGGGGCCTAGTTTTGAGGGGCCTTGAAAAGAGATGCAAGGGCTCGCAAGGTGTCGAAAAACAAGAGATGCACGGACCAGGATAACTCACTCCTGGCAATCTCGGTGTCGGAGAAGGAATGGCCGATGGAGCCCCGGTCCACTACCGAGCCGCCAAACCGAACCTGCAAAGTGGTTTGGAGGGAGGAAACAAGATGGATGCCCGGAAGGACGAGTATGGATGGAGGGGATGAAGTCGGGACGATCTAGGAAGGGATTGCGGGTGTCGAGGAGGACGCATGGTGCAGCTGGCATGTGGGAAGGGCACAAAGACATGCTCGGAGTTGAGGGAAAGTAAAGGGGGGAGGAGGGGAGAAAAGGGGGGAAGGGAGGTGGGGAAGAGGGTAGGTGTGATGTACGCTTCACACTTTGACAAGTCACCCACCTTAGGAGTGACGTATGCCAGCTTGCGGTCAGCCCGTGTCATGAAGTAATGCGTGGTGATCGCCCACCAGTCGCTCACGCTGCTCTCACCCCTCGGCCCCCCCTGCCTGCTCGCGTTCCCTCCCAGTGACTGCACGAAATTCTCGATAACGGCAGCTCCGGAATTCTCAGGCCACGTGCCGTAGTAGATGAGGTAGACGACCGGATCCACAATAACAGCCCCTCCGTTATAGTACAGCTCGGGGCTTGTTTTGGATTTCCCAGCCTCGGTCACTCCAGCTTCGGTCACTCCAGCTTCGGTCATGCCAGCTTCGGTCATGCCAGCCTCGCCATCCTCCTCCTCAGCCTGCCTGTCACGACCGCGCAGTTGACGGCGGCGGGTGCCGTCACTCGGGCTAATCTGACCACTCGATTGGAGACCGCCGCTGGGATTCCGCCTCCTAACAGGCACGTAACCCCTGCGCAGGCCTCCCAACAGCGTCATCGGTGGCGGAAGCGGTGCAGGCGGAGTAGGTCGAGGCAAAGTTGACTTGGAAGATGGCGGCTCGTCTTTGCTAGCTGAAGCGGGGCGTTTCTTGATGATATCTTGAGGTTTTTCTGCTTGCGGGTTGTCTGTGATCCTGATTCGAGCGCCAACCATGCGGCGCGGAAGACGAGATCCGATTTTATTTGATTTAGGAGGTGTTCGTGCAGCGGTGGCAGTTACTAAAGCTGTCGGGATGGGTGACGAACCGAGAGGGAGATCAGGTGTTCCGCTGCTGCTGGCTCCGTAAGGGAAACGTCTAGAGAAGGCCTTTGAAAACCTCTCAACGTAGCTGGTACTAGGTATCGAATTCGAACGACCAACGGTGCTGGTAATAGTAGTATCGCCAGTGGTAATCGCGGAAAGGAGTGCGGTGGAGAGCAGAAGAGCTCTAGTAATGATAATCGCTCCAGGTGACGCCATGATGAAGAAGCCTAGAGGCGTTCGATATTACATCTATTGCGAAACAATTATAGTAAAATTCTACCCCCCTTGTTTTCTCCGTCGAATCTATTACAACGCTACGGATGGACTCGCGATAGTCTGTTCTGGCTGAACAGCTTCAAGACCAAGAAATGCGCTGCGAAGCAATGACGAAAGCAGAGCTCCGGTGTTCGTTTCTGCAAGGCAGGAAAGAATCTATGGGAAAGCTATTTCGAGTTGAGACCAGGCTTGAGAAAGAACATCAGGGATGATGAGAGCAAGAGGAGCGCGATATGGAATCCACGTCGGCGAAGACGAGACGAGTTTCGTCAATCGGAACCGGAAAGAACTCCAAGCCGTTTGGGAGTGGAAACCTAGCGTCGGTTTCCAACTTTCCTGAGAAAATGTGGAGCAAGAGGGTGAGTGACAAGTGTGAGACGGGCGTTGGCGCAAGCAGAGAGGGTTGGCGGAATTTGAAATGAAACAAGAGACGCGGCACGACTTCAGAGGAGTTCTTTGCTTTCGTTCTGCCCGTGGCCCATGACGAGCCAGTTCGGCGTTGCTGCTTGGCCTTTTGCCGTGGCTGCTGCCGTGGTTATTCAACGGGGTAACGTCACGGCTCGGTTTGTACAGCGCGGAGTTGCACCAGAACTTGCGGGTCTTCTGTGATTGTGAGTTGTCACGGTTCGGTGCTCTTATGTACGGTTACGATGGAATTGGACAGAAATGAAAGTACTCACCTTGCTGACGAGACAGTCAACAGAGAACTAGCCAATCATAGCGTCATCCCTACCCCACGTAGCGTGAATAGAATTTTGATGAACGGCTTGACTTCCAGCGTGGCAAAGGGGCTCATTTCTGTTGCCAGCTTACAGAAACTAGTGAAATTAGTGAAACGATTTTCCTATTCTAGTAGCGATAGCGGAGCTGCGTATATGCATGAAATGCTCCTGCACAAGAGCTGAGTTCCGAAACAGACTTTACACATGGGCAAATCATGCTATTTCGTGGTGAGTTTTACCGATTCTGCTGGAAACGCGTACAGTGAGCCTAGATTCTGCCTTTTTTTCAGTCCCAAGATATGCATGGAGCGGGAAACACTGGAGACCCGCGCGACCGTTGGAGACGGAGGAATGACGCCATGGCGATCAGCTTGGTCGTGGTAGAATGGGATTTGGAGAAAGCGATGCTCGCGAAACCCAGTTGAAATATCTCGATGTGAACGTTTGGTCATTCCAAGCTGCTTGTGTTTTCTCCGTTTGGTTTTCGTTCCGTCTCTTCGTCCCGTTTCTTCCTGCGACCATGGAATCTTCCGATGTGGACCGGGTGACCGTCGAAAAATCCCGCGAAACCATCTTCACATGCACGCTGTGCAAACTCGAAGCGCGTTACGACTATATGGGCCGTCGGCCGCCATTCGCGCCGCAGATCGCGTAGGTGCTTCCCACCGCGTCCTCGTCATCTCCGTTCTTGGTGATACTCATTGCTCTTAACCCCACCAGGTTCCTCGAGGACGGATACATTTGCCGGGATCCATTCTAGTGCGGCTCTCGATGTTTGTGCCGGTATTGTATCCTGACTCTGGGTTTGAGATGTCCCTCCCTGTCTGGTTCCTGTCCTGAAGTGACTTTTGAGTTGACTCAAAAGTCACCTTGGTTTGAAATGTGTCCCTCCCTGCCTGGTTCCTGTCCTGAATATTACCGTAACCTCCGTTTCCGGCTGTTACCACCCCACCAGGTTTCTCGAGGACGGCTACATCTTCTGGGATCCATTCGAGTCTGGCTACATTTGTCTGTTTCCTATCCTGAATCCTGACCTCCGTTCCTGGCTTGATAATCCCTGTGTGAGAGATGCCCGTTCCTCGTGACGTCAGGTTCCTCGAGTGCGGCTGGGTCTTTGCTGTGGTCTTACATCCTGACTCTGCCTCTGGCGCAATGTCCATCCTGGTGATATTCGTTCATGATAACCCCATCAGGTTCCTCGAGGATGGCTACATCTGCCGGGATCCTGTCCTGAATTCTGACCTCCGGTTCTGGCTTGGTAAATTCCGTCCCTGGTAATATTCGTTCATGATAACCCCATCAGGTTTCTCGAGAACGGCTACATCTGCCGGGATCCTGTCCTGAATCCCAGCCTCCGTTTCTGGCTTGGTGATTCCGTTCTTGGTGAAATGCATCGATGATAACCCCACCAGGTTCCTCGAGGATGGCTACATCTGTCGGGATCCATTCGAGTCCGGCTCGTCCCGTTCGAGCCGGCCGCTCTTCCTCGGATCTGCCTGCTCTCTCTGCCGCGCCCCCGTCTGCTGCTCGCCTGCCTGCAGCTTCTTCTTCTCGCACCGCTTCTGCCTGCCCTGTGCTCGCCGCAACGCTTCTGCCTTCTGCCCTGAGGCTCAGGCAGAGCTGCTCAAAGCGCTTGGCACGAAAGCTTGACGAATAAAGGAGCGGGTATTCAAAGAGGTAAGAGAAACTCTGCCTCCTCTGTCCCCTTTCTCCTCCTCTCTCTCCTCTCTTTCCTCTCCCTCCTCTCTCTCCTCTCCCTCCTCTCTCTCCTCTCTCCCCTCTGCCTGCAGCTTCTTCTTCTCGCAGCGCTTCTGCCTGCCCTGTGCTCGCTGCAACGCTTCTGCCTGCCCTGCGCTCGCTGCAACGCTTCTGCCTTCTGCCCCGAGTCTCAGGCGGAGCTTCTCAGAGCTCTCGGGGCGAAAGCTTGACAAATTAACTAGCGAGAACTCAAAGAGGAGTATTTGAAGAGGCAAGTGTACGTCTGTCCACGCTCTCTCCACCTTTCTCTCCGCGCTCTCCACTTTCTCTCCGCCTTCTCTAAGCTTTTTCCGAGTCCCCCAAAACAAGCATTTTTCCCACTTCTTTTCCCTACTCCCCCACTCCCTGCCCGCCACTCCCCACTCCCCACACCTGATGCTCAAGTGCAGCTTCACAAGGCTCTGAATTATCGTCATGGAGCTCAAATGATTCTCAAGTTGGCGCTCGGATTCTGAAGGCTCCTAAAAAATAGACATAAAATAGACACAAAATAGACACAAAATAGACATAAAATAGACACAAAATAGACATGGCTCTGGTTGGTGTCTCGTCTCGTCACGGAGCCTGCCTGAACCACCGCTGCTGCTTCTCTTAAGGCTCTCAACTCCCAATACCTTCGCAAGGCAATCGATTCTCAAGGCAAAGCTTCACGGGGCTCTGGAGTCTCGTCACAGAGCCAGCCTGATCCTCTCATGCTGCTTCTTGCTGGCTGCTTCCGTCTGCGACTAAAAAGTGCCATAAAATTGCCGGCCCCAGCGCCCCCCCAGCCCTCTGCCTGCTGCACTCTGCGGCTCCATCTGGTTCTCCATGTCCTCCCCGTCTGCTCCAAGCGGGTATTTTAGAATTCTCAATGTTGCTGACCCCACCCTGCAGCCCTCTGCCAGCTGCACTCTGCGGCTCCATCTAATTCTCCATGTCCCTCTCGTCTGCTCCAAGCGGGTTTTTGAGAACTCTCAATGTTGCTGACCCCACCCCGCAACCCTCTGACTGCTGCACCCTACGGCGGCTCCATCTGTTCCTCCATGTCCTCCCTGTCTGCTCCCAGCCTCTACCGTTGTGCAGCACATAAGCAGACCTTCGGCAAAGCTAGCAGCCTCCCAGTCCAGCTAGCTAGCAGCCCAGTCCCCACACAAGAATTCTGCAGTGTACTGGCAATGCAATGCACACTCCTCCTGTGACCTGTCTCTTTCCTGACTCAGCCCCCCCACTCCAGCTGTCTCTTCTTCTCTTCCCCAACCAGGCTGCATGCAGTGAACACTGGCCTGCTCTCAATCCAGACCATCACCCATGGTGGATTTATTCACTGTATTTTGTGATTCAAGTGGGGTCCTTTGTGTGGCACTACTAGCATACTTGTTAATGCTGTGCACTTGAAAAATAAATAAAAAGATCAGGCAAAAAGCAAGCAAGGCAAGTGCTGTTTGCAGCACTCACCACAGTACAGATTGTTAAACGTCAAGAGGGAGAAGGAAAGAGAGACAAGACGACACTGCAGGCAAATGGGGTGAAGCACCTGCCTGCCATCTACCCTCTACACCTATTGCATCATTCTCTCCTCTACATTGCCGCATCACTCTCCCCCCGCACATGCAGTGGAGTTTTGAGACGTCTCAAAACTCTTCTTCAATCACGGAGTTCCGCACCTGCCACGGGTGTGTAAAACAAACACCTCGCCACAATCCGGCCGCTGCTCCTTCCCACTCCCCCCAATCTCCCCAATCTCCCCAATCTCCCCAATCTCCCCACAATCCGGCCACAATCCGCGCTCCTCTCCCTTCTCATCTGCAGTGCTGCACCAGCCACGGGTCGTTAAACACCTCGCCACAATTCGGCCTCAGCTTCGGATCCCACGACAGCAGCACACCCACCAGCGCCTTCGCCTCACCACTCACCTCCTTCCAGCTCCCCCCTTTAAACAACAACCTCTGATCCGAAACCGCTTCCCAAGCCACCATCCCCTGCGCATCCCTCGGCGGGAACCTGGCACTTAGCAAAGCGTACAGAACGACTCCTAGAGACCACATGTCCGCCTGGGTGGTATACCACCGGCCCTGCGCCACCTCAGGTGCCTTGTACAGCTGGCTGCCCTTGTTGCCGTTCGCCATGGCCTGCGTCGGCTGCAGCAGCTTCGCCAGCCCGAAATCGGCGAGTTTA